GATTACTCATATGCAAATTCAAACTGAAGCTGAAGAAAATGAAAACAAGTCCAAGAGAGTCAAAATATGACCTTGAATATATCCCACCTAAATTTAGAGATCATCTGAAGAACAGATTTGATACATTAAACACTAAAGACCAAAGACCAGAAGAGTTGTGGGATGATATCAAGAACATCATACATGGAGAAAGCCAAAAGTCATAAAGAAGACAAGAAAGAAGGAAAAGATCAAAATGGATGTCAGAGGAGACTCTGAAACTTGATCTCCAGTTTAGAGATGCTAAAGCAAATGGAAGAAATGAGGAGGTCCAAGAGCTGAATAGAAAATTTCAAAGATCATCTCAAGAAGATAAAGCCAAATATTACAACAAAATGTGCAGAGACCTGGAATCAGAAAACCAAAAAGGAAGAACATGCTCAGCATTTCTCAAGCTGGGGGAATTGAAGAAAAAATTCAAACCTCGACTTTCATTATTGAAAGATTCTCTGGGCAAATTATTGAATGATGCAGAAAGCACCAAGAGAAGATGAAAGGAATACACAGAGTCACTGTATCAAAAGGAAACGGTTAATGTTCAACCGTTTCAAGAGGTAGCATATGATCAAGAGCCAATGATACTGAAGGAGGAAGTCCAAGGTGCGCTGAATGAATTGGCAAAGAACAAGGCAGGAATTGATGGAATAAAAACTGAAATCTTTCAAGAAAGTGAGGTGGCACAGGAGGTACTCACTCATCTCTGCCAAGAAATTTGGAAGACAACTATCTGGCTGACTAATTGGAAGAGATCCATATTTGTGCCCATTCCAAAGAGAGGTGACCCAGCGGAATGTGGAAATCATCGTAACATCTCTTTGATATTCCATGAGAGTAAGTTCTGATAAAGGTAATACAGAAGTGGCTCCAAGCATACATTGATAGAGAACTTCCAGAAGTTCAAGCTGGATTCAGAAGAAGCCGTGGAATGAGAGATATCATTGCTGATGTCCGATGGATCTTGGCTGAAAGCAAAGAATATCAGAAAGATGTTTACCTGTGCTTTATTGACTATGCAAAGGCTTTTGATTGTGTGGATCATGACAAGCTATGGACAACATTGTGAAGTATGAGTATTCCAGAACACTTAATTGTATTCATAAGGAATCTGTACCTGGACCAAGAGGCAGTTGTTCAAACAGAACATGGAAACACTGAATGGTTTAAATTTAAGAAAATTGTGAGACAAGGTTGTATTTTTTAACCATACTTATTCAACCTGTATGCTGAGCAAATAATCCGAGAAGCTGGGCTATATGAAGAAAAACGTGGCATCAGGATTGGAGGAAGACTCATTAACAACCTGCGATATGCAGATACAACCTTGCTTGCTGAAAGTGAAGAGGACTTTAAACATTTACTGGTGAAGATCAAAGAGCACAGCCTTTGGTATGGATTACACCTCAATGTAAAGAAAACAAAAATCCTCACCACTGGACCAATAAATAACATTCTTATCAATGGAGAAAAGATTGACGTTGTCAAGGACTTCATTCTTCTTGGATCAACTATCAACACTCGCGGAAGTAGCAGTCAAGAGATCAGACGATGTATTGCACTGGGCAAATCTGCTACACAGGACCTTTTTAAAGTGTTGAAGAGCAAAGTTATCAACTTGAGGACTAAGTTGCACCTGACTCAAGCCACGGTATTTTCAATAACCTCATATACATGAGAAATCTGAACAGTGAATAAGGAAGACCATAGAAGAATTGATGTCTTTGAGTTATGGTGTTGGAGGAGAATATTGAAAGTACCATGGGCTGCCAAAAGAACCAATAGATCCATTTTGGAAGAAGTGCAGCCAGAGTGCTCCTTGGAGGCCAAGATGGCCAAACTTCATCGCTCATACTTCGGACATATTGTCAGGAGGGACCAGTCGCTTGAGAAAGATATCATGTTAGGTAAGGTAGAGGGTCAGAGAAAAAGAGGAAGACCCCAACGAGATGGATTGGCCAAGTGGCAGCATTGATGGACTCAAGTGTGGCAACAGTATTGAGGTTGGCCGAGGATCGGGCAGTGTTTTGTTCTACTGTACATAAGGTTGCTAT